AAAAAAGAAAATTTTTGAAAGCTTTCTATAAGAAAAAAAAGTACCTGGCTCACTACTTTTGGATAACCCTAAGTAATTTCCCTCCGTTACTTTTATCAAACACAATCTAAAAGGAATGTTGAAGTATATAGAATTTTAATCTCACAAGAATCGCACTAACAGATTTTTTACTCACGAGTAAAACTTTGAAACTCGCTTCTATAATTAAGAAAAAAAACAGTAACTCATTGAGTCAAAATACAGTACAAATATTCCATTCTTTCTTTGGTAGGTTATTTCTGAGATATTCAATAGTTAACGTAAATTGGATCTTGCTTCAAGTTTATACAGTTTTCACAAACAAAAATGTATAAGGCGGTAAACATAATTCAATAGCAGTAAGATTACATTCAATTCAGATTTGACGATCGAAATGATTAACATATAATTTTATTTTATTCTTCTTCTAAGAACAATTCTTTTCGTATAATATTATCATCATTTGAAAGACTGGTCAATATTATAAATTTCTCTATTATTTAACTTTTTTAAGGTCCAGAGTATTGTATAAAAGAATATATCAGAAAAAGACTTAAAATATATTACATTCAAGAAACATAAATTTTTATTAAGAATATAGTTAGATTTTGCTGAAAAATTAATGATAACAATAACTTATAGTTCAAACACTCATCTTCTTTTTTAACTCGTTTTGCCGACCATTGTTTGTCTTGTCTTTGTATAACATTTAGATGGAAACTCAGTTCTTTGTCTATTTTTGATCAAGGTATGATTAACATTTTGTATTCATGTTTTTTTTTTACCTATTGATCTCTCATATCTTTCTTTTTCGTTTTCGTAGTTGACCATCTTTCTTCGCGCTCCAGAGCATCATCAATAAAATACAAGCATAAACAAAAAGAAATCTATTTAATTTTCTTTTTACCAACATTATATTCATTTTCAATAAAATATTGCTTGTACATTTCGTTCTATTAATAGAAGTATTTTAAATTCTCTGACAAAAGATACAACACAGTAACTTTCTTGTAATTGTGAAATTCATAAGATTTAAAGTTTTCTAAATCTTAGATTTATCATCTTTAGTTGATTAGGCATAAATCTAGATATTTCAAGAAAAACAAAAATATTCAAGTATCTTCTCCATTATTTAATGTCCATTCGACATTTAATAAAATCTTGATGATATGAGCAGCAATAATAACAAAAAAAAAGAAAAAAGAAATAAAGCATGAAGTCTAGTTTAAAAAAAGTTTGATGTTATAGTTTTATTAAGTTTGTATTCAGAAAAAAAATGAACTAACTATGAATATCCATCATATCGGCAGTTGTTTGTAATTCACCTTCAGTTGGTTTTGAAACAAGAATTTTTTCTGGATACATATTATCAAGTACATGTATACCTTTCGCATCAATCATTCGTACGAATACACAATGCGGATAAGCAGCCATACGTTTACCAAGTTCATTAACCATAATTTGTAACATAGCTAATCCTTCTTCAACAGTTAAGTCTTCTTTCCATAAACGATCACCAATACCCAAAGCAAAATATTGACAAAAACCATGAGCAACAACATTAGCTGAAACCATAGCGCCTAAATAATCGATTGAATAAAGTTGTACACGTTGTTGATCACGTTCATTTGTTGAATAACCTCCAATAATAAGATTAGCTAAAAATGAATTTCGTGAACGAAGTGATGTTGCCATTTCATGACGAGTAAAATTAGCACATGCATATGGAGATAATTCAATACCATTGATCATTTTATATAATTGAATATTTTTACCAACATATTCTGCAAATTGAACTACATCGCCTGGCTCACCAGCTAGAACAAAAAAAAAATATACTTCATAGAAAATAATCAAGAAATCAACGAATATTCATGCTCAGATATTAAAAATTTAGAAAGCGAAAAATTTTTACTTAGATTGAATGATTAGTAGAATACCGTGAAAGTTTCAACTAAAACGAATGTTCGTTTATTGAAACATTGAAAAAAAAAGACAATGTTTGCCACAAGCGTGATACGAAAATTGAGTTCATTTGAAAATTCACTGTTTCCAGAGAAAAAAAAAGCATTCTTTTCAACTGATACTTTCGGGATACTCTATAAATGATTAGACCTCGAAATTTTACGTCGAAATTCTGTCCTTTTTGTATGCACGTATAACTCCTTCATAGATGCGATATGAACTCAAACAAAAGATATCAGTTCGAATGGTTCTCTAGTCAATAATTGATAGCTTCATATTGACTAACTAGACTGATATAAAATATCGAACTCTTTATATGTAAATTCAAAACTGTGAAAACTTGATTTTATCCTTTCTCAATAGAAGTCCTATTTCAATTCATGTGACCGATAATGAAACTCTCAAAAGACAATTCAATAGAAAGTTAATAGTTCGAATCAATATAAATGATTTCATAATTAATCACATGATAATAATCTTTTTATGTATACAATTTTTTAATTCTTCAAATTTTGAACTACTTCTAATTATTATAATAAGAGGAAAGTATGTCTATGTAAGGCTTAATCTATGAAAAACAACTCGAAATAGTATATATCTCAGAAATTTCCTTGAGAGTAAATAAGTCTTACAACTCACGTTGCATTTGTATATAGATCATTTCATATTCTTTTAACTGAATTATAAGAGAATTCTAAACATTTAACTACAAAAAGTATGCAGAATTAAAATAAGAACTAATTCCTTGTGAATTACATCCGTTAGATTTAGACTATCGAAAAAAAATCAATGACTATAATACATTATTTATATTTAATGATCGAAGTCTTACCAGCAAGCATAGCACAATGTTCACTTAACTTAAATAATCGATTTGTATCAAATTTCATATTAAGAATACCATATTTTGTTGTATTAGCATCTTGAGCTAATAAAATAAAATCTTTACCACGAATACCAATTATTGATTCGACCATTTTTTGTTTTGTTCAAATATATATATATATATTTTATAATCTGAAAAGAACAAAATCTAGAAGTTAAATCAAATAGAATAAGAAAAAAAACCAATACTAAGGAAGAAAAACATGAGAAAAACAATAAGAGAAAGAAAAAAAAAACAAACTGTCTACCAAAATTTCCAACTACTCTTTTTCTCTTGTTGATTTGTTGATGAACTATAATCGGTTGAAAACTCCGATGTTTGAAAACCCATATCAGGTGTATTTAATGAAAAATCTGTTGATGAACTAAATTCATTTGATTTCATTGATGCAGCTGCAGCAGCACCTTCTTGACCAAGTTTGTTAATAATATAATTACTTGAATCAATAAAACGTTCAACACAATTCGCTAAACATGTTTCAGTTTTTCCATCAAGTCTTGATGATATACTTGGTGCACATAATTCCCAACATTGTTCAGTTAAAGAATGTACAACAGATTGAAAACGTTGTTTTTGATTTTCTTGTTCAATAAATGATGCTAAATGTGGATCACCTATACCTTGACTAGAACCTCCTGTTAAATCCATGATCTAAAAAAAGAAAAAAACCAAATCTTTGTTTATTTATTTATTTTTTTTCTTTCTTTAATATAGATTTATATTAATAAAGAAGAAAAAAAACGAATTTATCGTTGCATAACAATTAAAGATTTATCTTTGTACAAGAAAAACACACACACACACACACATACATGCACACTGTTGTTACAAGACGAAGACACAAACATAAGAAAGGATAAGAGAAAAAAAAAGCAAAATTTATTTGTCAAAAAATTGTATTAAATTATTTATACGATTCGGATTGCCAGCTTTTAATGCTCGTATTGAATCCTAGAACAAAATCATGAAAATAATTTTTATGAATAAATAAATATTAAATTTACTCGTTCAATAGCATGTGTATTTGTTTGTGTTGTAGTTTGTTCAAACATTGATTTTCGATTCGATCGAGTATCAGCAGATGGCATCGATTTTCTAATTGGAACTGGTGATTCAATAGATGATTGTTGTTCAAATTCATCTTGATGTTTCTTTTCATTCGAAACCAATTGACTAAAAAATAAATAGGTTATCATTTGTTTTAAGTATTTTATTCGAAGTGAAAGATGAAGATTAGTAATTACAATTGGATAGAGTACGTTAGATTAGTCGCGAAACCGAAAATTTTGAATTCAACAGGTTGTAGTAGTTGGAATTTCGCTTTAGGTGGGATTCAAATTAATGACATGTTGATAATTATTAAAATTTGAATCTTCATCGTAATAAAACAGGGCATGATGTTGTTCCTACATGTTTTATATGTTCATTGCTGATACAAATGAAGTTTAATATTACAGTAAAACCTTCTTATAGTGGATATCTATGGGACTTTTTGAAAGTGTCCACTATAGGGAGGTTTGGTCTTTTCAAAAAGTGAAGTTTTTCGAAAAAGCGGACGCGTTTTCTAAGGATTTGAAGGATGTTAGTGAATAAGATAACTAACCAGTGCTCATTGTTACTTCTCTCCTCATGCACTTTTGTTCTTGAAATACAAAAAAACCAACAATTGTTAGAATACAGGACGGCTCTTTAGTTAACACTGAATGAGATTTCTCAAAAATGTCCAGTATCGGATGATGTCCACTATAGAGAGGTTCAGTTCCAGCAAAAACCTCTCCGTTGGACCGCGGAGTGTCCACTATGGGAGGTTTTACTGGTTTCATTTTCATTTTTGCTGACATTAGTTTTTTTTTTTCTTTCTCCAAAGAAAATATGATCCCGTCATGCTTACATAATCTATTGTGTTTTGTTTTTTCTATGCTTTCGTAATTATGATAAAACATTTTCAAAAAAGAAAACATTATTGTTTTGAATATCTCTCTCTAATAATAATAAATAACTTACAATTTATTTTGTTTTTGTTTTGCTATATCAACCCATGATGGTGTTGGCTTATTATCATTAGTAGCAACTTTATTATTAGCTGATAGATGAACACCAACAACTGTTTTACGTCGATTTGGTGTTGGTGGTGGTGTATGAATTGGTTCGATTATTTTATTGGTTGATACAAATGATTCATTCTCAGATTTTATAGATGGAGATAGAGGTACATGAATTTCTTCATTCGATGCAGATGGAAAAGATTCCGATATTGTTTCTTCATTTGTTCGAACACGTCGAATTGAACCACGTTTTTTTAATTGATTAAAAACATTTTCAAATTCATTTGTTAGTTGTTTATCATTATTTGATGTAACATGCATTGTAAGTGGTCTTAAACGTGTTGTTTGTATTGGATGTTCTCTTGTTTTAACAACAGCTGCTGTTGTTGATGTTGTTGATAATGATTCATCATCATCATCATTAGATGATAGAATAATATTTGGTTTCGGACGTTTAAATACATCTAAATTATCATAAATATGTTCGTGTGATGATGAATGTGATATTGATTTAATTGAATTAGTATTATTAATATTTGTTTGTTCATTAATATTTTCATTTTGTATTGAATTATTAATTAATATTGAATTATTTTCAATAGATTTATTAGTTAATAAAACATTTTCATTATTTTCTTCTTTTTTTTGTTTTAATATTGATCGATTAATTAATTTTATATCATTAATTTCTTGAACACGTTTAAAACTTACAGAACGTTGAATAGGATTAGAAAATGTTGAAATATTTGATGATGTTGTTGTTGTTAATGTTTCATTATTTAGATTAGAATTTGTTGCCAAAAGTATATTATCAGCTGAACGATCACGTGAACGAACTGATATACGAAGACGTGCTCGTGCTGTATCCAAATCAGATAGATCAATTAATGGTTGTTGTCTTTTTGGCTAGAATATAATATTAAAGAAATTATAATATTCTTTCTAATGTATAAGAAAAATTAATATCTACGCTAGAATTAAACACGGCGAAGTGTGAATTCAACAATTTAAAACGAAGGATTCAGGATGTTTTTGTTTCGGATATTGTATAAGACGAATTTATTTAAAAACTCATTGTAGCTTATTATGATAGAGATTAGATAGTGAAGTCACCATCAAATGTTCGATAAATAAAAATAAGTGAAGAATATCATTGCGAGTTGAATAGAAGAGGCTGAATCTTAGTGGGTGTCGTCCCCTTTGTCATCACTTCTAGCATTTCGAAAATTAAATTATCTTTAGCTTCTCAAAACTATATGACATGTACTCTTTTTAAGATATTTCAAAATCTACACAATGAAAAATGTTTCATCTTAAAAAGCCATTCATATTAGTTCAAGGACGTCTCTTATAAATGAAATTTACTATTATTGTCAAATATGTATTCGATGGCTTCTAAGAATAAAGCAAATAGTTTAACTCTGACTTTTCAATCATACTACTAAATATAGATATTCAATAAGACTTAAGAATTCGTACATACAAATGGATATATTTAAGAAAATATTCTTCTGACTGACTTTTGTTTTTTTTTTTTGCATTTTCAAAATCAAAACAATTTCTTATTCGTAGAGAAAAGTTTCTAATATTTACCTCTATACGTGTTGTAGCAATAATTGAATGTTCCTCTTCTGGTGTTGATGATATAGCTGAAAATATTGAAGTTAATTTATTGATAAAAAAAAAAAATTTAAGAAACAAAAAACTCTATGTCAATGAATTGAAAATGTACGTAAATTTCTATTTAACTTTTTCATTTTTGTTTTTGTCGTTGAATTTGTTTTTGTTGTAGTCGGTAATGAAAATGAATTTTTGAGTAAATAACGCTGTTTCGGCGGTAAAGGTGGTGGAATTTCATCATCTATACTCAAAATATCTCAATTTTTTTTTTTTTTTATTCAATCAAATTTATTAATTCCCTTTCCCATTACACCTTAACCTGTTAATATTGAGTTAAAATTCTTTTGCTTTCTTTTTACCTTCAGTTTTTGATGAAAATAAATCACTTTCATTATCATCAGTTTCTCGAAGTGTACTTAACTACAAAAAAAATAAATAAATGAGACTTCAAAGGAATAACATAGAAATCTGAGTTTTTCGCCCTCAGAGTGAGTATCTCTATATGCTGAAATCAGATCGGTCAGCTGTTTACCAATCAAATTTCGGCATAGATAGATGTCTCAGGCTCTCTCTTCTCTTGAATAGTGACAAACATCAGATTTCGATATTATTTCAAAAAAAAAAAAAGTCAGATGTATTTTATTTTGAAAATGATATTCGTTAATGAATAATATTACTTTTTGTTTAATTGGATGTCGTCGTTTATTTTTCACTGAAATACGATCTCGTGCTGCGGAATGTTCTAATTGTTGACATGTTGATGGTAATGTTGGAAATGTTGAATTTGGTACTAATATAAGAACAAAAGAAAATTCAAATTAATTTTCAATTTTATTTTTTTAATTCTTATTTTGCTTTTTACCATCATCTGTTTGTACGAATGATTCCTACAGAGAAAAAATAAAAACGAAATTCAAAATTTATATTTTTTTTTTGTCTTACAAAAAATGAAGACATTTGATCAGCAACCGATGTATACGATGAAGAACTATGTGATGATGCCTGACAATCAAAACATAAATATTCATTAATTCAATAAAAATAAAGAAAAACAAAAAAGACCAAAGAACATTAACCATCACATTGTTCTCTTTCACACATACGTTTATAATAGTAGGTAATATAAATAATATATGCTTACATTCGAACGAGGAGGTTTTTTTGGAATAATAATTGGTGATGATGATGGTATTGGTCGACGTCCAGAATTAGTAATATTACTTATGGCATTAAATTTTTCTACCTATTATTATGAAAAGTATAAAAATTATATTTTTCAATAATTACAAATGAAAAAAAAAACACTAAACAAAAAGCTTCTTTTCACCTGTGCTTTTATCAATGGACTTAATTTCGAACGAGACATAACTGTGTGTACGTTTTTTTTTATTCTGTTGTAGTTAGAATTTTATTCTTTTTAATAAATGTAAATGCAGAACAAGCGTTGCTCGGCGTTTTAGTTGAGGATAACGTCAATGATAAGATGAAAAAATGCAGATACAATATAATGACGAAAGACAGCAAAGAACAAAAGCAGCGACAAGCAAATCAAGCGAATACAAAAAAGAAAAAGCGAAGCAGTATGTGAAATGACAGGAAAAAAGCAATAGAGGAAAGGAAACGAAAAATAAAACAAGTTGTTACACACCTGGTGGTGCGAGTCTCAACTGTCACATTTTTTTTCTTTTTAAAAGAGCTAATCAATTTTGTTTTTTTTCATAACAAATAATTAGTTTTTCTATAAATATAAGCATGCAAAATGGGAGGTAAAAACATTATAGCTGCTTTCCTACAGATACCTGACATTAATTTCAAGTGATTTCTGTGCATAAGAAGAAGCGGATATTTTTTAAAGTTATTTTACATAGATAAAGAAAAAAAAGAATAAACTTTGTCAAAGAAAAAAAAACATACCTGATTTGTTGTATCATTTGAAGTTGTACTTAATAATACAACATCATTTAAACCATCTTGTGAATTAGTCTTTTTTATAGGAAGCGTATGACTATACATATCAATGTAAAAAATAAAGTAAACATAAAAAAAACTAATAGATATAAAATCGTACTCATCTATTGGTATATCGCCAGCTAGAGAAAAGACTGCTGGACGACCAATAATTTTTTCACGAAGATATTTAATCATTGACTCGTCTAGAAAATAATTTTTTTTAAAATATATTGAATTATAACAAAAAAAAAAAAAAACAAACAACAAAACAAAAGCAATAGTTATTAGAATAGCACAGACGACATTAATAAGCATTATAATAACCCACCATCATCCACTACTGATACCATATCATCAGTTTCGCTCATTTTTCTACAATTTATTTTGATGCTAAAAAAGCAATAATATTCAATTAATTTTTCATTTACTTTACCTGTTCGAGATTATTTTTTATCTGAAATAATCGAAAATCATTAAAAAAAAAGAAAATATTATCTAATGAAGAAAAGATACAAAACAAACATGATTGAACTGATGTTTTTGCCTATAAGAAGATCTTTATGAGACTAATAAAATAATGTGTTAGAACTTATTAAAAAAGTTACAATACTATTTTATTCTAAACGTTTCAGTTAAAATACATATATCCTTCTTGAGAATGAGTAGGATCTTGTATGTTTATAAAATTATTTAGACGATATAAATAATTCGCCTAAAGTAATCGGTGTTAAATATTTCAAAAATATGAAGGTATATGACACTAACAGTTGATAGATATAATAATGTGTACTTGTAACCAATGTTATTGACCGATTACGTAACTGAACATAAACATGGACAAAAATTTCACCCACACACGACTGAACAAACAAACATATATTGTATACATAAACTTATTCTAACAGATCATCAATAACTGAAATTGATAGCTACAGTCATACTTTCTTCGCAAAACAGGTTTTTTGTTTTTCTTTAAAATATAATTGTTATATTTCTAATATTCAAACTAATTTAAGTTTTCTCTTTTCAGATAATCCTATGGTGAAGAAACATTTATATGTATATACATTGTCTTTATTTTAATGTATCTTGAGAGTCCTCACATCAATGATAGTACGTTGAAGTTAAAAAATTGTACTATTCAATAACGAACAAAAAGACGTCTTGAAATTCAGAAATTAAAACAATAGACGTATGAGAGAAAATCTTTTTTTTTTTTTTTTTTTTTTTTTTCTATATTACTCTTACATAGTTATGATGAAATGTACATAGAAAACAAAAAGTAATATTCACTCTCAAATGTTAATCATACTATTATTCCATAGATGGATTCGGAATAGCCGTTGGTGGTGGTACACCTGGTGGCAACATACCCGGTGGTGGTCGTAATGTCATTAATGTTGTCATTGCAGCTGGATTAGGTGGTGGACCTAATGGTCGCATGCCTGGTGGTAATGTAAATGCCCATGGTGGTGGTGGTACAATAGCTGGCATGCCTGGTCGTGGTGGTGCAATGTTTGGATTGATAAGACGTGGCGGCATTGGAAATGGACCACTTGGCATTTTACCCGATTTAAAAGCAGCTGTTGTTTGATCAATCTAAGAAAACTTGACATAGAAAAAAAAACAAACAAAAATAATTCAAATTAAACAAACCAATTTTTGAGCCTGTTCTTCCATCCATTTTTGATAATAATCACGTACATTTTCTTTATGTTTTCTTCCTTGACAATGAGTTTTACGTACAGATGGTGAATCATGTGTTAAATATGTATCGCAATAATCACAATAATATTTAGGCATATTGATTAGAAATTATCTAGATAAGTAACTGAAATTCTTCACGTGAAAACAATAAAGAATAAATGAAACTATTTGGAATGTGTAAAGAAACTTACGGCTGACATGAACCAATCTATAAGAAGATTAACACTTATCGAATTGTATTTATTATAAATAGATGTCACTGACTGACTTTCAATTTTTCTCTTCTATATCAGAATCAACAAATAGATTTACACTAAAAGTGAAAGCAAAAGATCGTGGCTAGTAGAACAATGTCCGATGATCTTGAGAAGGAGATACTGTCAATGATGGTAATTATTACGTTTTTTTTCGTGCGGTAATAGGGCGGTACCTGACCTAGCCTGCCGTAAATGAATTATAATTATTATGATAACTTCTTCTTTTCAAACCGTTCGATTCATTATTTGTAGGAATCAAGGGTGTGTGTGTGGATATTATCTGGATGTCAATATAGTTCTTTCTAACACCAACATCTCATGTTTGTCCGAGTTTTAATGAAAAAGTCATTGTGTTTTCATCTCGATGTTCTTGTGTTTGCGAGTTGTTTTGAAATAAATACTACCGACAAGAATAGTATCTCACTTTACATTTTTCATATGAATCTTGCTAGAAAAACGAACAAGCTTGCATAATATTCTACAAAATCAATTAAATTAGTAAAATCAAGTATAATGTTCTTTCAATTAGACTTATTTTGAATCTAGTGTCTTGAAGAAAAATTTCCATCATAACTTCCAACATAAGCTATTGCATTTTCATTTTGAAATATTGGCAAGGTGAGTTGACGATTTATTATTGTATTGCTCTCTCAATATATAGATGATAAATATGTGGATACTTACTTTTTTTTTCATTCTATACAGTCGGATGTGACACATGGTTAGGTGTTTGCACTCGATGTGGATGTGCAATTGTGACGAATAGCTGGTAAAAAAACAAAACATATTACACTTGTGCATTCTGCGTATTATGACTTATGTCTACTAAAAAGAAATCTTATTTTCAAAAATTACCAGTCGATATTGTTCATCGAATTTTCGATGAACTTGATACAGAGATAATTGTCTTTTCAATTCGATGCATGTGCAAACAACTCTATTCCATTGCTAATACTTATAATCGTTATGAGCTGGACAATCGCTATATGTCAAAATCTGATTTATCTATCATAGCACGCATTATTGATCCGAAAAATGTTATTTCACTTAGGCTTTCGGAGGAAAGAGAGACATCCAATCGAATTCGTTTATTTCTTTCTCACTTTCGTATTGACCAATTCGTTCGACTTCGTTCATTGACTCTCTTTAATGTAAAAGACGAAGACTTGAATGAATTTGAACAAAATATCATGAAATATCCTCTTACAACATTCTCAATATCAACTGATTACTCTGATATCAACAAAATAAAAGCCTTATTATCATCTATTATATCTCATAATGCTCTTCGTAAATTGAAAGTCGACGTAAGACATAATATTCTCAATGACATACAATGGCCTATTTCATCTGGATTGAAATACGTGACAATTTGTTATACGTGCAGTTGGAACACAATTTATTCTATTCTTGGTCACTTATCTCATCTAAGAACATTGGTTTTGACATATGTTTATATGAGTTTATTCGATGAGACTACCGTTACACATTCTGATATCACACAATCAAGTCAGTTAGTTTCGCTCTCGTTAAATCTCAGTTCTAATATAACAATGAACGATATTGAATCACTTCTTTTACTTTTACCGAAACTAACACATCTTCGTTTGATCGATGAGACACGTTTCTCTGATCCTCTATTATTTGACGGTTCTCGATGGGAAAATTTCATTTCAATGAAATTGCCTCTATTGAAAAAGTTCGAATTCTGGTTTACTTGTTATGCATCCGATGATGAAGATTATACTACTGTAGAGTCACTGATTTCACCATTTCGAACACCATTCTGGCTCGAGCTCAAACATTGGTTCGTTAAATGTGACTCTGAGTACGACGGACATTACCCGAGATTTCAACTCTATTCGATACCAATCTTCCAAAATAACTTTGATTACTCTGATCAACAAAGTAGAATTAAACGTTCTGCATTGAACATCGCTGCTAATCATGCAACAATCATCGTCGATGTGCATAAATTATTTATAAATTTGAGCCAAATGATGACTGCAAGCATTCCACAAAAGGTAAGGATTGTTTTACATTTTCAAATCGTTTATTTTGTTCTCAAACATATAATTTTTCGAAAGGAAAGTCAATAGACTATTAATGGAGTCTAATAATGAGTTTAGTTAAATAATTGTCTTAGACTTGTATCGATTGCTCCTGATTTTTATAAGATTGTAATTATTGTTAACAGCATAGCTCATGGTTACTGAAGTTTCTCGGGAAAATTTCAATATAAAACTATGAACTTGTCAGAATAGATAGTAGAATAAAAGTTGTAATGTTGTACCCAGTAATTCTGAAAAAAGTGACTCATCTTATCATTCATGTTTCTCCGATCATCTGGGACTGAAAAATATTTCTGAACCATAGAAAAATGCTATCTATTTGTATTAAAGTAAAATAGTGGCAACTTTAAATATTCTTTGTTAATTGTTATGAATGAAAACTTAGAACTTTTTCATTCACATGAAAATCTATTTACACACGTACTATAAGTAATGTTTTGGTGAGGTAATAGATTTAATTTCATTTTATCTTGTTCCCTTTTCATAAAATAGTAAATTTTCGAAAGTATCCTTAAATCGCTTGCTTTGTTTGACTATAGTATGTTTGCAAGATCTTGCTAAAATGAAAAAGATAATAATTTGCTTAAAGACTATTAAATTCTTCTAAACCATGTAAAAATAACCAAATAATCATCATGAATTTTGATTAAAAAGTAGTACAATAATAAGTGATAAATGCATCATTTTAATAAAACATCGATGATTATTAATTTAATTAAATTGTATATTATTTATAGAATATCATTGATCACACATTATGATTTTTCAAGAAATTGATTAATTTGGATTACTTTTTGATTATTATATATAGCTGTTATCTTCCATGGACAGTACTGGTGCGTGAAAGCTTGCAAGAGCTCTTAGTAAAAAGATGTACACATATATTTTGTGTAGATCTTTTATTTCATTGCCAATGTTAGAAAACGAAGTTTTTTTTTTTGTGGGAATCTAAAAAATATGTTTTTTTTCTCGTTCTAATTAGCTTTGAAGATTTTTCGATTGTAAAGTATTAGATGAAGGATACTCGAACATTTTTTTTAAGCCAAAGCTTTCAAATTTTCAAAGTCAATATAGACTGTTTTTAAGCAAATTTGCTTCATTTACATATAAAATTTCTTGAAAAGACTTCTGGATTTCGCAGGAAAACGATTTGTATTAA